TTTGGTGTTGGGAAAAAACTCCAGTAATATTCTATACAAACTTTAATTTAAAAAAATATATCACGTTTCGCTATCACAGTAGCTTTTTTGAAGTGAATGACATACTGATAGATAGATAGATATGTTTATTTACTTCAAAGAGTATTTGTAGACAGACCTACATGAAAACAGTGTCTGTAAAAGTATGTCACAAAATACAAAATTTTAAAACTACATGCATTTTAAGAATATGGAATTTCGTTGTCAGTAAAAAAAAATTGATTCAAATGGAACTTTTGCATCTTCACACACCTTGAAAAAATTCCTCAATACTGTAGGGCTCCTGATCAAGTAGGAATTCCTTCAAAGACGTCAGAAATCTGCTTATAACTTCAATGTTGCGTATATTTTGGGGAAAATATGAAAAATAACAAATCACATTGATATGAAAATCACCGAATCTGATTATAAATCACCAGCATTGGCAACATTGCTTAATTCCATTATGGTCCTGCCCACTAGATCTGTTTCGTTAGAAGACATTGAGAGTGAGAGAGAGAAAGATTTCTCAAGTCTCTTCCTAAGATGTTTTCTGGCGCTTATGTATTCAAAACGTATTCGTCTGTGATTCAAATATATTCATTCTGGCGTTGCAACGATGACGTCACATACCCATGAGTTAAAACGTGTTTTTTTAAGTACAAAACACAAGCAGTACAGGAAAATCCTCGAGGCGCTCTAACAGCGGTGCCTCTACGCCATTCTGATGAAACTTATTATTAATGACGTCACTACGAATGGTTTTTGAATATAGGCTCGAATACGCTTTAACCCCAGAAAGCATCTCTAGATTTGACAAACTGTACATTATATTCACACAACAGTTGTACCGAAGCGTGGAAAGGTCCACCGATAATTTTGAGTTTACATTTGGATTTATAATTTTGCGACTTTCGAAGTTTCGACCTTGAAAGCGAAATTCATGTGAATTGTGTAAAATGCGTTAGGTTAGGTTATAGTGAAGTAAAGAGCTGATTCAAATACCATACATCAACAAACTTCTTTGTTTGGTTCAATAAAGTTGTCAAAATGTAAGCAACTGGGATGTTATAATTTTTTCCCTCCTTATCACGAGTACCAAGATGCAACTGTTGCAATTTTCTTCTCTCTACTTCTTGATTGACTGCCAAAAATTTCAAAAAAGGAAGAAGTAACGTGAACAGAAAACAACGAGCGCCCACTATTTTGATCCTAAGAAATTTCAAAAAAGTCTATTACAATTTTCTTGGATTTAGTACAATTATATTTGGTGTTTTAGTTTTAGTACTTAATCTGTGGTTTTAGTACATTTTGTAATATCGCAAATTCGAACGTTGTTTTGTTGGTTAGGAAACAAAAAATAGACCCAAAATAGGGTTTCTGTTCCAACTAAGTTTTATTGAAGTACTTATTATTTTGTATTCAGTTACAACATGTGAAAGTTAGCCTTTTTAAAATTAATATGTATCAGATAAGTACCTTGCGATCAAAGTTAACTAAAACTGGGTCTATCTTGATTTTCAACCCATTGTGTAAGGTAAATGGAAATATGTTTCTGTCTGAACCTATTCAAATTTGTAAACGTTTGTCTTCATTTTCAGACATGCCTTAATATCCCCATACCAGTTACTTGCTGTTCTGTTCCCGTAAACAGGCAAATTTCACCTCTTAATCCAACAAATTTTTCTCCAGAAAATGAGAAAATCACTTGCCTACCACAGAAACCTAAGAAAGCACCAGAATGGCGACCAACACCTTCAACTGATCGTTCAAATTATCTTCGACATTATATGAAATTGTCAAAAATACGTCTTACAAGTATGTACTCTATTTACTGGTGGAAGTTTTGATTTTTTCGAATATTTCTGTAGTTAGTTCACTGAAACTTTGAACAATTCAAGTGAAACTATTATACCTGTGTTATATATTTTTATATTGAGCAAAGGTGATAACAAATGTTGAAGTTACTTTTCAGGATTTCCATACAAATCTACTTTAACAGAGGAAACTAATTCTGAATAGATTTATCATGTGCAGATGTACAGATCTGAACCTGTTTTCTACATTTCTTGTCATTTTTCAGCCCTTGTAGTGGTGACTTCAATGGCTGGATATGCTGTTGCTCCAGCTCCTTTTGAATGGACCACATTTGCAATGTGTTCGTTGGGCACCGGATTACTGTCAGGAGCTGCAAATTCTATTAACCAATTTCATGAAGTCCCCTTTGATTCTCAAATGTCACGAACAAAAAATAGGGTGTTGGTTTGTGGTAGACTTACGTAAGTTTCAAGAATTTCTAAATGAAAACATTCTAATAATTTTGAATAGTATAGGAGAGAGTAAAGAGTAAATGATAAAAACTGAAGCTAATTCACATAAATTCAATACGAACTATTACCAGTAGACAGCTGTTTCAGCCTATTGAGCATTGTCAGTAACTGGCAGGCTGCCTTGCAAAATTTCTAAAATATAGTTCATTCAATAGGCCGAAATTTATTTTATTAGTTTTATCACAATTCATACACTGATGGTTACTATTAACCAAATGTAACAATCTGTAAATGAATAGTGATAAAACTAATATAATACATCTCTTCCCTCACGAGAACCAAAATGCTGTCACTCGACACCCTCCTTCATTTCACATAGGGAGGGACATTATCTATTCTATGATTGCTGCTGTTTTTGAATAGCATCAGTTATTGAATTTTATTGAGTAGTTGATTGACATTGACATGATTTTGGGGCAAGAGATGTTGGTTTGAAAGGACGAGAGTATTCTTTCTCTATAAGAAACATTGGCTATAATCCGAATTGCTTTTTTTTGCACACAAAAGGCTTTAATTGCATGTGAAGACTGACCCCATAAAAGTATGCCATATGTTTACAATCATGCTATTACAATCATGTAATAGCAAAAAACTTCCGGAAAGAAAGTTACACCTATCATACCAACAAATATAGTTGCCTATATATTTTTTGATGTACGCACAATTCCCCTGAATGACTAATTCAGATTTGAAATCATTTAAGGTACTCTGAAATTATATAAATTAATATTTATGAACGTGTCTTTAGGAAATGTTTCCAATTGTAAATTGGTAATATACAAATTTTATTAAAACAACGATAAAAATAAAATAAAAATTAATTGGCGCTCCGGGGCGACTTCATTGATTCCAGTGGCGCATTTGCTTTTTCAGCTGCAGGAAAACCCGGAAAAACCTGCAGCACCACATCATCTGAAGATCTTGATCTTCAGACAAAAATTAATAAAAATGTAATAATAGAAAACGAGTTTACTTTCAAATAATTGGGATAAATATCGTGTTGTCAGCCTTGTGTTATTATCCAAAGAAAACTTACTGCAAAACCTTATTGAACAAGATATTATGAAGATACTCAGCACAAAAATAAGAACATTGATTATTTTTATTGGAATAGGTCAGTCGGTAGCCAAGCGGTTCGGCGTGGGTGCTTTGTTCACTCACTCGAATTGACTGCCGTGTTGGTCGGTGGTTCAAGCCCTAGTCTGAACGATCGATCTTCACTTGCTACCGTCCAACCCGTGTTAGGAATCACACGTTAAAAGGTAAGACCTCGTTAATCCTTAGCTCGCACAAGTTTCTACTTCTGAGGATTGTCGTTCGTAGGGGTGCGACAGCTGGTTAACGGAAAAACAGATTTTAAACAGATTTTAAACAGGTTGAAAGAATGGTTTGATTACCTTAGAATACTTTGGAGTTCGTAAATGGTGGAACACGATGAAATATTGAGAAGAAAGAATAGTCTATTGACCTTATCAGTAAATTCACCTGATGTGTACTTTTTACTCAGGTGTCCAAAGATACTCTCACAATGCATACCTTCACAATTAATTGTTGGAAGATCAGACGTTGGATTTATCCTCCCACCACAAGGAGATTATGACATTCAGAATAAAAATTTGGAAGTGGACCTATAGACAGTAAAGATTAGGTCATCAAAAAATATCTGGACAATAGTGTTAGAGAAACTAAGAAAATAACCCTAAATGCTGTACAGGAGTCCATTGCATCAGTCTATCATGACTTGAACAGTCAACCGATACCTAAATAGTGGAAAACTGGATTATAAGCCTTACTACCTCAAATAGAACCAACTTCTGTCATAGAGAAATAACACGAACACTGTGAGTGAGCTACACAAACTGAAATGTCGAAATTTCCTTATACGAAATACGATACTGAAAGATTTTTCATGAAAAATGAGAAATAAAACTTCTTATGGTTTTTTACCACTTGTATATGTTTATTGGAATAGGTTGGGAGAATGATTTGATTACTTTTGTATACTTTGGAGTCCGTGAATAATGGGACATGATGAAATATTGAGAAATACTAGAAGAAGGAATAGAAACGTTACTGCAGTTTCTTCCTAAAAGGACATTTTCAAACAAAAACAATAAATAGTTTATAGTATTCGTCTGAAAATGTCCTTATAGGAAGAAACTACAATAACGTCAGTTACGTATACAAGTGGTTTAAAAACATAAGTTTTATTTCTCACTTTTCATGATGATCTCCTACCACGTAACTATATGATTTCCATTTTTTTTTCGCTGTTTGGAACTAAACCAGTTGCTTTTGAAGATTATTTATTTATGAAATTTGCCAACCCAGCACTACCTGATATTACTTTCACCTTTTGGACCTCTAAAGAAAATTCAAATTTTACGCTGACCCTCACGGCCAAATTGACTTTTTTTAAGGAACATCCAAACCGAAATATCTCTAAAAACTTTTTTTTGAGGATGCGAGGAATCTTCTTTCCTACAGCCATCTTTTCTATTGTTTTCAAGTTGTTAGCATCTTCATAACACTGTCTGGTGTTGAATCATATAAGCCATTGTTTTGATTGATTTAATGGTTTTGCTGTGGTCTTCTTCAGTTACAACCTCCAAATGTTTCAACTGCAACTGCGGCAGTCAGCGTGGTTGAAGTACTCTTCATGATGTATCAACTGGAGATTATAACCAAACAAGACCATGGCAAAACCCGGAAACCAATCAAAACATTGACGCCAGCCGTAAAAACCTACATTCATATTGAAATGCTAATGTTTGGATGCTGGTTTTCATCTGATTTAAGTAGAGGTTCGGTGATGGCCTTGAAAAAAAAATTGTCACATTTACACAACACCTAATCAATTTGACATGCTCTGCACAGTTTTCTGCAGCAATCTGTTTCATAACTCTCGCAATTTTTGCATCGTCGATCATCCAATGTTTCTTCAGTACTGCACACTCCTAGAAACAACGAAGTTTTAAATGTTTGTTCTTTCCCACACATTTGGGATTTAACCCCAACTTGTGCTGTATTGCTTTCTCACCATTCTCTGAACCTTTTTGGAACTTTACACAATTCAGTACAGTTATTGATGAAGTTTGGCAAATATAGAAATACACAATCGTAACATGACAAATTTTTGTGCATCACTAATGGATAATTCATATGTAAAATCAAAACTTGCCCTAATCAATATCATCTCCATTGAAAACTGACGCTTATCATTTTTCCTCATCATTTAGCCCAATGCCCTTTCCACTCAAGATTTCTCCGATGACCTGGGAACCCCCATCTCGAATAACCTATACAGTATGTCTCACTTATCATGGAAACACCCCCCCTATCTTCCGTAATAATCGTGGTAGAATAATGAAACTCTCAGGACTGATGGAAATGCACAAAATGCACCTACCACCTGAATGGGGTTTGCCAAAGTGATATACACTGCCCGCTACTCGCGATGGAACAACCCATTTTTACGGTAAAACATACTAAGGGGCAAAATAGTTTGCTTCCAATACCTGAACCCCTTCATTCTATCTGGAGAGTAATCTCGGGTATCAAAGATGCAGAAATTTTCACGGATTCGTTTGGCTGTCAAATGCTATCATCCATTTTGAGCCTCTCGGAGGAAAATGTCACAGTACCAAATTCTCGGATTATCGGGATAGTGTGAAGCAGTGTATGAAAAATTATCGATGGCGGCATCTATTATAACTGAAGAAGATTATTCGTAAAACCAATTCTGGTTGCTGAACATCCAAATTCTATCCCAAGCAGAAGTGGGATCTATCCGATTGATGAGCAAATACCGCAAAAAATGGGAAAAATCTATTTTCAAAGGTTCAAATGTCGAAAACTGTACATTTTTGGGCTTTGGCTGTGGACACTTTCAATCAGCACATCAAGAACTAGAACATATCAAAATTTATGCAAAATTCACGGAAAGTGTATTTTGCATTTTGGGGTCCTTTTTTAAAATATTGTGCAAACATTTTGCCAACCGAAACAAAATTATTCTTCATTCTCATTGCAACAACGAAACAACCGGTAATTTTTAAAGAAAAAATCGCACTAGGTTAACAGGTGAAATTTACATTATTTTACCTACTTGCTGAATTGTCTGAAATCATGTGAACCACGTGAAAGAGTTCAGGTATTGGAAGCGAACTATTTTGCCCCCTAATATGTTTTACCGTAAAAATTGGTTGTTCCATCGCGAGTGGCGGGCCAACCCCATTTAGGTGGTAGGTGCATTGAGAGCATTTCCATCAGTCCTAAGAGTTTCATCATTCTACCTCAATTATTCCAGAAAATACGGGGTGTTTCCATGAGAAGTGAGACAAATTCGTATTTTTCAGGACTGAAATTTCAGGCAAAAAAGTGTATTCGTAGTAAGTTGGTAGTCCTTATCAAGAATCTGAAGGAATTTTGGGCCTATTTTGTCCCCTAGTATGTTTTAGCATAAAAATGGGTAGGCAGTGTATATTTCTTTGGCTAACCCCATGAGGTGGTAGGTGCATTTTGAGCATTTCCATCAGTCCTGAGAGTTTCATCATTGTACGATTATTACGGAAGATACAGGGGTGTTTCCATGAGAATTGAGACACACTTCGATCATCTAATGACTTCTCTATTAGTTTCACTGAAATATCAGACAGAGTATTCTATAACAAAATGGTAGCTCAACAAAATGGTAGCTCAACAAAATGAAAGAAGGATGAAAGTGTCATGAGGTTATATGAATATTGATGTCAACCATACTGTAGAAGACGCAGCTTCTGGTGGTGAAGAAGCGGTAGGAGGTGGTGTAGCAGCGGAAGGTTTAAGGTGTTGCAGAGGTGCATGTAGTTGGAACTGATGATGAAGTAATGAATCTCAGCAATGCTGCATGATAGCGTGTGGAAAAACGTGTGAACAAAATCATGAGTATCAGTAACACTTCATTGTGAGGTGTTCGCTGAATAGTTT